ATATATTCTTTCCAAATTGAAAGCATCTTAGAGAAAGGTAAAGGGCTTCAAACAAGGTTCACATACAGCTGCAGCCCTCGTTTGGCAAATGCAAGACCCTTCTCCCCATAGCCTCAGCACTGGGCTATGGTGGTAAATAAAACAGTTCCTACTCCAGAAAAGTTGGCTCCATCGTATGAACAGGAATCTTCCAATTTTTTAAAACCTGCCATTTAAAACTATCAAAACAGAGTGTGGTGGTCATCTCAGCAGTTGGGAGGCTGAGGCAGGAGGATCACGGCAAGTCTGAGGCAAGCTTGGGCTCCATAGTGAGTTCAAAGCCAGCCTGAATTACACAGGGAGACCCTGTGTCAAAAACAAAAACAATTAATTTTTAAAATTATCACACAAGATCATCCTGAAGCAAGAGCCCTTCTAAACCACATGGGTTAATTACAGGAGGAACTTAAACCATCAGATGAGTCAATGACCAGAGAGGAACTTCCAGAAGCACTGAAGGCTGGCAGTGAGGAGGGAGCAAGGCCCTGAGCCACCTATGAGCTGCTTGTTTGCCTGCCAGGGCCTTTTCCCATTTGAAGGGGATCCGGTATTTGTTTTGATTCATGTGTGAAAATATATGAGGTTCCCTTTGACATTTTATACAGATGAACACCAAGATATCAAATCAGAGTTTGGGTTTGGCTTTTTTGTTCTTTCATATACTCAAGTACTATGCAAAAAGGGTCCCAACCGTAAGTACCAGAAAACACACTCTAGGTTAAGATTCAAAAGAGAAGACATTCATGTCCACCACATCCTACTCGCTGATACTCACTTGGACTGGGTCTGTTTGGTGATGTTCCGAATGGTGGCGCCTTCTTTTCCTATGATGGCTCCGACAAACTGTGTGGGAACCAGCAGGCGCAGAGGTAAGTCACACGGTTTCTGTTTGGACACCGATCCTGGAGACCCTTGCCTCGATGAGCCCCTCTGCCCCAGCCCACGGCGGCCGCGGGGCTGCTGTGAGGGGGTCTGCTGGGCAGCTGCTTCGTCGGGGATGTAGGCGACTTTCAAGGTGAAGTTCTCTAACTGGAATCCATTCAGCTTGTCTAAGGCTCTGAAAGTTCACAAGGTGGGGGATTCACTATGCACACAGCAAACCGAGCACACATAATCCACCTCCACCCACACCTCTCCTTTCAAGTCCACACAGGGGTAAAAGATTGACAGGTTTCCAAAAAGAATATATTGGCCATCTACCAATGAAAAATAGGAAGAAAAAACTCATTTTTTCCCAGCTCTTGAGTGAGTTTAACACAGGCAGTTCACAGCAGCTTAGAAATACTCAGCAGCAAGAGAGAAATAAATGGCAACTCTTATCATGATCACTGTGTCTCCAATCAGAATGGAAAAGAGGGGGCTGGGGATTTAGCTCAGCGGCACAGCGCCTGCCTGGCACGCGCAAGGTCGTGAGTTCAATTCCTGGTACCGGAAAAAAAACAAAAACAAAAACAAAACCCAAAAAAACAGAATGGAAAAGACAGCAGAAACACAACCCTCCCTCAGTTTACCCTCTAAAATAATGTTTAAAGCATTTAAAGAATCAATGGACAAGTATTTCCCAACCATTACAGAAGATAGGTGGAAATTGGTATTCAAGACAGTCAAACACTCAATTAAATTTCAGGAATTTATTATGGTCCAGTTCCTGAGAAAACAGTGGTCCCTGATCTTACGGCGTTTATGATCTGATTTGGGAAAAAAGGCAGGGAACTGATGAACAAGAACGAGAACAAGGGGGAAAGAGGGAGAAAGAGAGGGTGGGGAGGGGAGATATTCTCTGCCCATCCGTCACACTTGACATCTAGTTGGGGATAATTTTGGTTTCTTCCCCTTGTCTTCAACTTTATAAACTGATACGGAGAACCACCTAATTCTTAGGCACACAGCTCAGTGAATTTCCACAAGACGAACACACGACAAGAACACAGGAGTGGCCCGGGCCCACTGCGCTCCTTGCAGTCCATACCCCTGCCCTAGACTTCTTCCACCATGGGACAATGTTGCCTCTTGTAGAATTCTGTCAAATATATGAGGATACATGTACTCTCTCGTGTCTGGCCCCTTTTGTTTATTATAACATTCACCCAAACTGTTGTATTCTACCTTAGCTACATATGTTAAAGGGAGAACGAGGCACATAGAATATATACAGGATTTCTTTTTTTTTTTTTTGGTTTTTCTCCGGTACCAGGAACTGAACTCATGACCTTGCGCTTGCCAGGCAGGCGCTTTTGCCGCTGAGCTAAATCCCCAGCCCCATATACAGGATTTCAAAAGCACACCTAATCACACATCTAAGAACACATGTTTAACTCCCCAGTGTACAACAAAATGAAAACCAAAAAAGGTCTCACACTTTCCAACTAGGTTCCTCAGACTGCTCCAATGGCACCTGAATTCAGCACAAACAGGAAAAAAAAAAAAGGTATAAAAATGTCTGCCAGGCATGGTGGTGAACATCTGTAATCACTTGGCAGGCTGAGGCAGGATGATCACTCAAGTTTGAGACCACCTGGTCTACAAAGTGAGTTCAAGGCCAGCCCGAACTGCACAGTGAAATCCTCTCAAAAGGACAAAAACTTGGGCTGGGGCACAAGCACTTGCCTGGCAAGTGCAAGGTCCTGAGTTTGATTCCAGGTACCCAGCCCCCAAAATACAAAAATAAATAAATTTTTAAAACTGCCCCCTCAGTTGCTCCACACAGTCATTTCCAGCTTAGATGCACACTCCCTCATTTACAGATGGGCTTCGCTTCTTGACTTGCATCAAAACAGGAAGTCAAAATACGGTCAGCAAAGTGTGCAATAGAAGAGAGACACAGGCAAGTGGGAACCCAGGCTCCCTGTGCATGTCAGGCCCAGAATTCTGCCTCTTTCCTCACTTTATCCTCAGACCTCAGGAGTCCTCACTGTCAGAGAACCCCCATGCACAGACACAGAAGTGGCTCTGTCACTACCATGGACCCCCAGGCTCTTGCCAGTTGGCTAGGGGCGGTGACGCCTCTGCAATGTGTCTGAATGTGAGGACATGCTCAGGCTCTTCTTCAAAAGCCTAACTGGGACCATGGTGTACACTGCTTTGTGGCGTTTCTCCAAATATAATGTCTTGATATATTCCCATGTCAGCAGGCCTCCTTTTCATAAGCATCAGAGGATAATACCACACCATACCAATGTGCTGATGATGGAACCCTACCATACCATGCCTTGCTTTCCAGCTCTCCTGCCCTTTTAAGGGAATGTGGATTAAGGCCCTAAAATATTGTAGTTACATCTCAAGAGGCACAGCAACCGGAAACTTAATTAATATTTATAGTACATATTACAGAAAGCTAGCGTTACAGAAGTTTCAAGCATCTAAAGATTCAAAGCAACTTTTAGCCTTTTTGAAGGTCAAGATATTGTTCATCATCCTCAAAGCAAAACAAAACCTGAACCCTACTGAACACAGTGGTGCATGCAGTAATCCCAGCTATTGGGAAGCTGAGACAGGAGAGTTGCAACATCAAGATCAGTCTAGGCAATTTAGCAAGACCCCATTTCAAAATAAGAATTAAAAAGAGCCGGGAATATAGTTCAATGATAAGAGTGTTTACCTAGTGTGTGAGGTGCTAGGTTCAATTCACAGTACTGAGAGGAGTTTAAAAACAAAAACCCTGATCCCAATGAAGGAAAAGCTATACCTTTGGGCATAAAAGGCAGTATCATTCAGTGTTCATCAAGATTTTTTTCCTAATAAATAAATAAAAAGAAAAAATAATAATAATAATAAATAAAAAGAAAAAAAAGATTTTTTTCCATTTTAAAACTGAGTACTGCTAGCCTCAGAAGCAAGTTTTGACTGTGTAAGTCAGTGATGTTACAAAAAGGGTTAAGGACTTCATAAGTGACACCGATGTGTGAATAACAAAGGTAAACACTAATTGTCAGGTGCTTCTGTGTAGTCTGGATTTAAAGCCACGTGAGTGCCAAGAAATAATTCTCTGGGTGGGGGTGGGGGTGGGGAGTTCATATATTTCATTGTGCTGCTGTAAAAAAAAAAAGATTTCTCAGACGGCATGGCACCCCAGCAGGACCCAATGCACTCTGGGCTCCAAAGGTCCCAAAGTCAGGCCGCTCCAGGCGGAGAGCAGACAGCCCTGTTCCAAACTTGGATAAAGCTGAAAAGTATGAGGGTAACCTAACTGCAGAGCAATGGCTTTTTTATGACTGAAGACCCTCAGTTTGTGAATTTTAAATCAATAGCTGAAACCTTCCAGTGAAGCAAGTCTGATATACAGCTATGTCAGTGTTCTGAGTTCTTGAGGTTTTTAACAATATTTTCATCAAGGACACTGTGCAAGACACAAAATGAACAACTGTCACCATTACTATTCAAAACACACACGTTCAGTTGAAGAGAACTTGAGGACATTTAGCCAATGTGTGTTACTCAGAACCCTGTTTCCATCATTACTCAGCTCCGCTGTGCTGTATTTTAAGAGTCATGCACAAGATGCCGAGTAATTTTCTTGTCACCAGCACTTCATTTTATTGAGAGGAAACTCCACTGGTGTGGACTGCAATTTAGAGGGGAAAAAGGCTTTGAGAGAACAGGCAGTTCAATTCGAGCGTGAGTGGGAGGTAGAGAAAGAAGAAGTCACAGAGAAGACAAACTTCCCCGGACTCCACATATACTGACGTGGAGAGTGAAAAAGAGTATGGGTGACTCGAGACCAGCACTCCAGTCCAGCGGGAACAGTAAGTAGCCATGTGACCCTGCACAGGTCATTCCCCCTCTTGGCACGGCCACTCATCTGAAGAACTTAAAGATGGGGCTGCTGGGTTTTGTTTTTGTTTTCTGATCTCAGGGCCTTGCAAGTGCTAAGCACGTGTTCTAGGATTGAGCCGCACCCTCAGCATGTGCTCTAGCACTGCACAGCACTCCTAGTCCTGTCGTCTCCACTTTCTTATTCCCAGACGTCACTGCTATGCCTCAGCAGGTCCTAACACATGAAGTTCCCTTGTTCCTGAAAAGCCATAAATTCAGTTCTCATACAACACCGTTGTCTGCATATCCCCATAGAAACTCAGGTGGAAATTTAATCCTCACTGTGAGATGCTAAGAGGATAGAAACAAATCAGTTATGGTATCTGGGTCCTTTGGGAGGTAATTAGATTAAATGAAGCCATAAGGGTGAGGCCCTAATCCAATGGGACTGTGGCTTTACTAGAGGAGGAGGAGGTACCTGAGCTAGGACGGGCTGCCTTGCCCAGCATGAGGCTCCACACCACCTCAGAGCTCTGCAGAGTCCTCACATCAAGGAGGACCACATCAGATGCAGCTACCTGAGCCTGAACTTCCCAGGCTTCAGAACTATGGACCGTGTAAACCTCTACGCTTTGCAAATCTGTCTATGGTAGTCCATGACAGCTGCAGAAAACACACTAAGACATACAAAGAGTAAAAGGTTAGCACACAGCACTCATCAGTAATCATCAAAAGCCTGGTAATACGTTACAGGGACATATGTTAGGGACATAATTATGGATGTGGTCCACTTATTTACATACAAAGAGCTTCATAATTAACCTGGTGTTCTGTCTCAGTTTTTATTTGTTATTAGTGCATGTTTGCATCTATAATGATTACATTCCTCTTGGGAATTGATGCATGGAGCTAACACATCTTAGTTTTTCCATCCCCTTCCCCCTCCCTCCATCTTTGAGTCACCTTCCCTTTTGCAAAGGATCTAGCTCCCTATTTCCCAGATTCATCTATCTTTCATCTTGCTCTTTATATTTTGGGTTTCTCACTTAAAGAAACTAGGCAACAGTTAAGCTTATGTGTCTGATTTATTTTATTTATTTACTAATATTATGGTCTCAAGGTACATCCATTTTCCTACATGTCTCAAGTTTATCCTTCTTTACAGTAAACTAGTACTCCACTGCGTAGAAATACCATTTTATCCATTGATCTGTTAATATACATATAGGTCTCTCCCAACATTTAGCTACTATGAATTGTGATGTTATAAATGTGCTTTTGCATGTATCACTATAATAGGATGTC